GGTAAGTATGTTGTTGGTGGTAATCGCTCGCGGGATTGTATTCTATGGATGTGGTGGACGAAAAGGAGCAATGTGGTAGATTATCGTTGGTAGTTTGTGGACCTCTAATCTAGATGGTCTATTAGGTGGCATGTTGTGCTTGATCAGGCTGAGGTGGTCCTACTCTAAGCAGTAGGCCAAGATACCCGGTGCGGGCCGACGGTAAGTCATAGGCATAGGGGTTCAACAGAGTATGATCCATTGTTCTATTTTCAGGTAGGAACCTCATGATCCTAGGGTTGAGTAGCCTATTAGTAGTAATGGGCAGAGTTCTAGCGTTGGATAGTATGAGTGGTCTGGTAGGGAGTTAGACCGAATTTAGGTTTCCATATTGCAGGTTTAGGTGGAGTAAGGTTGTCTGCCGCTTGGGTTTATGGATTCATCTTCTCTAGATCGAAGAGATTTGCATGGGGTTTAGTCTCTTTCAAAAGACGTCGGATGTTATTCAAGTCGATAAGCGCCTGAATTATGTTGAGAGGTCTGTGGTCATTCCGGAGAGGAAGGTGAAGGTTCTGCAGAACAAAGAAATACCTTTGGTAAAGGTATTGTGGGAACACCGAAGAGGGTCCGAGTGGAAGTATGAGCCGGAGGCGGAAATGCGGGAACACTATCCAGGGTTGTTCATCGCAACAGACTTCAAGGACGAAGTCTAGTTCAAGTGGGGGAGAATTGTAACGCCCCGGCTCTCAGGTGATAATTTTATGGATTTAATTTTCATAAATTGCAAGGTCTACTCGACGAGTTGGATGCCCTAAATCGTCGAGTAAAAGCGGTTTGGGCCACGTGTTTAAGTGACCCACTCGCCCGAGTCCAAGATAGGACTTGACGAGTAGGAGCTGGAGGATGAAACCCTAAATTTTTGGGGTTTTGAACCCTATTTAAAAGATCATAAGCCTATTTTAGCCCCTTACAGCCTCTTGAGAGTCCAACAAACCCTAATTCGTGTGTGTGCTTCATTCTTGTGTGTTTCAAGCTTTGGAAGGTGGATATTAGTGAGGAGAGCTTAAAGAGCAAGTTGCTAGAAGCAAGGAACGTGTGGGGATCTGAAATCTACCTCAATTATCATGTTTTGGAAGGTATCAAGTCGTTTCCTTGACCTCGTTTCATTCTAGATCTCATTGGGTTAAAGATTTGGGCTTTTCTAGCATATTAAGAAGCTATTCTTAGGTATAAGCTAAGCTCTGAAGTTGTAACATCAGATCTGGACTATCTTTGGTCTCTAAGTCCATAAATCTTTCAGCTTTAGCAAATATGAGCCTCTCCTTAAGTGAAAAACTCCATTGCAAACTTGGTTTTGACATTATGAGCCTTGCACGCATGTAAATCTTGCAACTTTACGTGATAAACATGCCTTAGGAAGTTGGATCTGCAATATGGGACCTTATCATGGCTTAAAAATCATATGAATGGATAATAGACTGAAGGGACTCGACGAGTTGCATGTTCAACTCGGCGAGTCCGATAAAGATTGTCGTGCAAGGACTTCTGCATGGACTCGGCGAGTCAACTAGGGTTTTCTTGAATTTTTGGCACGCGTGAACTCGGTGAGTTACAGGAAACTCGACAAGTCAGTGGGGGGATTTCACGACTACTCGAGTTCTGGAAGGATTCGACGAGTCAGTGACTACACTCGACGAGTTAGGTCAACATGGACTGTTGACCTTGACCGTTGACTTTGACCTTGACCAAGGGTTGGCTAATTGACTTATGGGGCATTTTGGGAGATTGGAAATTTATGAGTATGGTTCTATGGTGACTATAGGCGGTGGAGTTTGTGGTGGTGAGCCTAGAGTTGGAGCTTATCCTTCAAGTAGACAGTTGCGAGGTGAGTTTATCCTCATTGTACTCAAGGTTCTAAGGCACCAAGGCCTGCCGTTTGTTTGATTATTGGAATTATTACTGTTATGATATGTTAGATCGGTATCCTGGTAGATAGGATGGTTATATGCTAGTATGATATGTTAAGATCGGTATACTGGTAGATCGGATGTGGTTATGCTTAGTGACCTATATTTGGTCTGATTGTCTGCATGCTAGTTTTTATGCTAGTTAGGTAGATCCGTTGGACTACTTGTAGTATTATGTGATTATTTGTATGTGCATTAGTTATGTTATATGTTGACAGATTATGTGGGATGGGTTGAGGTAAAGTTGCTCCGTGCGGTAACCAACGAACCGGGAGCATTCCAGATACGAGCTGAGGGTGACTCATACTGTGGGATCGATGGCAATCCAGATGTAAGATGTGGGCCCATAAGGTAATCCAGACTCACACTGTGGGCCCACGGGTAATCCAGTTTTAAAGTTGTGGACCCAGTACATGCTTTTATTTGTATATGTGTTATGTGAAGTGTATCGGTATGTTGACATTCCAACCCAATGGTTGAGGGCCTGAGGCATTCCATCCCGATGGATGATTGGACCCATAGTATTTTGTTTGTTATTGTATGTATATTGTTGTGTGTATGGGTATTTTGGGGGTAACTCACTAAGCTTTCGGGATTACAGTTTCAGTTTATTGTTTCAGGTTCAACGGATGGCCGCAGAAAGGCGAAGGTGTGACCATACACTTCCTTGATTGATGATTATGATTTCTGGGAACTCTGATATTTAAACTATTTTGAAAACAAATTGTAATGACTGAATGATTTTAAATGATTTAAAAAGTTTTAGATTGGCTCAAATTTTATGGATGTTACAAAAACCAACTTAGAAAACCATCACAACATGCTTGATGTAGCAGCAAAATGGTATGAATTGAAAACAGAAGTTGTGTTATTCAACGATATTTATCAAAAGATTGAATACACACGTATTAATGATATTGAGGAAGACATCTTGGAGGCGGCTAAAGAAGAATACAAATTCATTAGCAACAGATAGATTTTCGACTATGATGCCCTTTGGAATATTTTGAAAAATCTCCATTATTTTTAACTAGTACAACATTTTCTGTTGCGCTTGTATTACTTTATTTATATGTAATATGGTTGAGTTTTTTTGCGTTTTTATTATGTTATTTATCCGTTTTTTAAAACATAATACAACAACAAATATTATGATACATTCAAACAAAAAAATACAAATAACATAAAAACATTACGAATAAGAGGTACGACTGACAAACATTACATAAAACATTACAAATAAAAGAGTCGTCTACATGAAAAAAGGTTTGTTTTTAATGAGATTCCATACGTCCATATACTCGAAATCATTTCCATCAAACTCGCAAAGGTAATATCCGTTCACGTCTTCAAAAAGTTCTTCATCGTCTGCATGAGAGCGTCGCATTTTCTCATAATTGTAGCATCGATTGAACCATGTGACTTTATTCTTTAAATCCATCCATTTACTCACAATATCGGGTTTTAGCCATTCTTGTCCTTGTCCCACCTCATGGTTGAATAAATTTATTAGGCGTAACCATTCATCACCAACAAGGTAATGAGAGGGAGCCATTGCTGGTAGACCCTCATAAACGGTAATCCAACATCGTGTTAGGACCAACACCTCTGTTGTCATCCATGGAGATGTACAATTTTGTTGGAGCTATTGCATCTGATGGATTTGCTACATTCTAAGAAGTTGGTACATTGGACGCCATTTTGTGAATAAAAGATGCAAATTTCATGTAGATACAAGCTTTATTATATAACAAGATAGGTTATGTGTTACGCAGACTGCCAAGTCAGTTATGCGGACTGATAAGTCAGTTATGCAGACTGTCAAGTCAGTTACGCGGACTGCAAAGTCAGTTACGCGGACTGATAAGTCAGTTATGAGGACTGACAAGTCAGTCATGCATACTGTCAAGTCAGTTACACGAACTGTCAAATCAGTTATGCGAACTGACAAATCAGTTACGCGAACTGCCAATTTATTTAGTTACGCGTACTGCCAGTTCAGTAACTTCTGTGGATTGACAAGTCACTTACACGGATTGTTTAAACAGTTCTATGAAATAATGATTACAAATTCCTTTTAAATTGGACAACCATTTTCATTTTTAGAAGGTGTCGAAAGTTGTGAAAATGAGTTCAGTCAATGAGGTATTCAAAAAAAGTTTCTCCAACCTACCGATTTTTTTTTTCATAATTTGCAAAGAATTAATCCTAACACCTTCATGTGCATTAAGAAAGATCCTAACACCTTTACTGTACCGAGATCATGCTTCTTCAAATAGTGAAAATAAATAGGAAGTTTGGTAAAACATTCTGCAGAGGATCCTAACAACAGTTCCATAGCATATTGTTTTGCATGTCAAGCTTGTCTGTAACTTACATTGATTTCCAACAAAGCATTCAAATCCCTTAATATTTCATTAGGCCTCCAAACCTTCGAACGGATTTTTCCTATAATCTCATGCAATATAGTACCCATGACTTTTTTTATTTGCGTGCTTATGATTTGGGTGTATCCGTAACGCCGAACATGTGTGCACGTTGTTGAAAGTCTCGATTTCAAATTCATCATTCGAATCAATGCGTTTTTGCATATAAACGCCAACTACAGTTCTCAATTTCACAATATACCTCGTAACAGTTTTGTTAGAATGTTTGGTCTTAAACTGAAACTTTTCTCTGGTTGCTTTAAGACTCAATTTCATAATATACCTCGTAACGGTTTTTGTTAGAATGTTTGGTCTTAAACTGAAACTTTTCTCTGGTTGCTTTAAGACTCAAAGAAAATATTAGTTGTTGTTTGTTATCATACATTTGACGAACACACATATCATCATTTGGACCTAAACAGTGAAATGGTCTAGGTTCAACAATGGGATCAGGACAATCAGGTATATGAGACATACCGTAAAAGATGTATGAAACTTATTTTCTGTGTGTAAACTCATCTTCTGACCAACTTTCATTTGACTCTTCATCATCTGACAAAGTTTTGTCATGTAGTCTTCCAAACTCATATAGATTTTCTTTTTCCACCATATTCACTGCCACAGTTTTTTACTGTGGAGACTCTTCAACATTATCAGATATAATGTTTTCAATATTGTATGGTATAATCTTGTCAATCGCTTCTGTCTGTTTGACCCATCCCTCAAACACCTCCAAATACAAATGCACAATCTCCTTCATTTCAAACATTACATTTCTGAGTTGATGAACATCTGCTTCATCTACAATATTCATAATATACCAATGAAGCGAGTGTGGAAATGACAATGATATATTATTATTGAACGTATTAGACTTACTTTTAACCAAATCAAACAATATTCGACGGTCAAAACTAGGCGGAAGCAGTAAACTTAAGTTGTTAAACTTTGGTCTAACGTAGGTGTTAATTTCATTACTCATCTGCCAAAAACCCTCCATACATAAAATAACAAAACTCATATTTTCTATTAAAAAAAAATGAAACCCGAAACCGATTGAATATTGTAGATAGATAAAAAAAAATCTTTTATATCACAAAAAAACGTCAGTAATATCATTGTAAAAACCCATTCCGTGGAGATTTTAAGGCATTTGCGGAGCCCTCGTAACAACCTCTGCGGAGGATTTAATGAACATCTAAAACAATCACTCTACAAAGGGTTTAATGTCTCTACGGACAATCATTTTCAGACTGAAAACGTACGGAATTTATAGTTCCGCAGAGAATTCATCGTTCCACGGAGCCCTATAGAGCTTCCTCCGCGGAATGCATATCTATAGCCGGAAATAAGTGTTTTCATGACTAAATTTTGAAATACCTCCCCAAAAATGACTATAACCGGTATTTTTCCTTGTTTTTCAAAGTTTAAATACACCAATGATGGTATAAAGTAAAAACAGGCACCTCGTTGATTTTTAATACTTAATTGATAACGTCTTTTTATCACATTTGTAGGTGTAATATTTGCATTTAATTGAAACAAACTTTTAAAATAGAACTAACAATCACATTTTATCACATTAAAAAGTAGAAACCTAAATGATAAAGGTGTGCTTGCATCCAAAAACCATGTGGGCCGCAACCACTCTATCCTGCCGAGTATGGCCTCCCACCACAACCACCGGCAGCCAAAGCCACTTCATCGTCTCCGCCAGATATTCACGTCCTCGCAAGAACATCAATTACTACCCCGAAGACGAAGATGATGAGGTAAAAGAAGAAATAGACAGTTGGAAGCCGCAAGAAATTGGGGATTCAGATGATGTATCATCATCCGTAGCGAAAATTAGCGGATCTGTTGTTCTGTTGGCACTGCAAAAAGCTAGTTCCCAGAAAACCTCCAAACAGATGACAAAGAAGATGAAGAAGAAGAAGAAGAAAGAAGTGGACGATAAAGGAGATGCAATTACAGATTACAGCGGCGTGAAGCCATTGTGCGTAAAAAGCGATTGGAAAGATAAATTGGATGAACTCGAGACACAGCTTCATCAACTAATTCATAACGCATGATCTTTAGTTTCCATTTCTTATAATTGTTATTTTTTCTGTATTATTTTGCTTCGATTGTTGTTGATGAATCATTTCTGTTTATTTGGTGATTTGATAAAGTCTTTACCCTTCATATAAAAAAAAAAATCTCTAATGGATTTATTAAAAAAGAAAAGACACAACTAAAACATTAAAGATTGAAATTAAATTTTAATTTGTGAAAGAGAGGAGATGAGAGTAGAGTAGGTGCTTCTACTCCTGTAGCTTTAGTCACCAAATCACTATAAATCCATTAAATCAACTCCTAATGTATCATATTCGTATTAAATCCAAGTATGATGCCTCAACTAGCGACCAATGCTATATTTGTAGTACCCTTAGCTTTAGCACTTGTACTTTGCTTCCCTCCGGCCACCTTTGCCGGAGTTCTCTACCCACAATTCTATGACTTCTCATGCCCACAAGCCAAAGATATCGTTAACTCGGTTGTTTCGAAGGCGGTTGCAAAAGATGCTCGTATGGCCGCCTCTTTGCTTCGTCTGCATTTTCATGATTGCTTTGTTAAGGTTCGTTTATGTCTTATCATGCTTTTAAAACTGCAATTCTTGTCTCTTCTACGGATTAGAAATTAGAAAACACAGTATAACATGTGATGTCTTTGGATTGTATAGCAAAGGCGCCTAATTTTGTTAATTATGTTTGTGACTAATAATGCAGGGTTGTGATGGATCAATACTACTAGATAGTAGTGGAACAATAACCAGTGAGAAGAGATCGGTCCCTAATCGTGATTCGATTAGAGGATTCGAAGTCGTTGATGAGATCAAATCTTCGCTTGAGAAAGCATGTCCGCAGACTGTTTCTTGTGCTGATATCTTGGCTTTGGCCGCTAGGGATTCGACTGTTTTGGTACCATAATTTGAAGTGCATTTTTAGCTCATTTACTTGAATAGATTATACTTTATTGTACAAAATACAAGATATAACTACTATCTTCATCTTTATATCTGGTTAACCACTTAACATTTTTTGTAGTATTAAAAATTTAAAACCATTTTTACCTTAAAAACTAATAAGATATATAAAAAGTAAAACATAATTTTATCATTTTATCGTGAAAATAACATTTTTCTATTAATTTAGCATCTAATAATTATTATAACATTCTTAAAAAGTGCATAAATTCATCAAATTCGAAATATATTTATGTACTTTACCCTTTTTCAAACTAGCTAGTTGGAAAAAGAATACCTTTCTTGGATATAAAATGAAGATATTGGTTTATATTTGAGAAAACATTATTCTCAAATGAAATAGCTAAATTGATAAATATTAAAACTGTACGTAATCTTTCTATCATAGTTTATCAGTAACGAGTCAAATTATTAAAATTAAAACAAATTCTATATAGATATATGTGCGCGAAATTTTCGATAAAGTTTTAATATTTTAGGTTAGTTTAATTATAATATTTATTTTTTAAACAAAAAAGTCTCGATTATCTTCATGTATACATTAATCTATCATTCTATGTTGAAAAAAATAAAAAATGTTTCGTTAGTTTGACCAAAATATAAAATAATCGGAACTTTTCTGTTTAAAAAAATAAAAATTAAGATTCTGATCCAAAACATTGAGATTTTTCTGTTTAAAAAAATATAAATAATCGAGACTTTTCCTAAATATAATGGTCCTAACAATAAGTGCTTTTATTATCTATGCTATGGTGCACAAGATATCTTCTTGATAATTTCATTACAAGTTTTTCAAATATACTCATATTTTTATCGTTAATGTGTTTTTGTATATTATTTTTAATTAGTTTTATCAAATATTATGTGTTGGCTTATCAAAACAAACCTAATTTTTCGGTTAGCTTCTCAAACACTGTCAAAATTAGTTTATTACGTTAATAATGATTTTTAAATCATTATTCAATTAACTAAGGGGGTGTTCGGGATATCTTCCGAAAGGGTAAAAAATTTTTTGGGAAAAGATAACAGAGAAAAGATGTTTGATAAAAAGTAAAAACTCCTTAAAAGCTCCTTTAAGATTTTTTATAAAAGAAAATTTGACTTTTTGAAAAAATAGTAAAACCTGATTTTTTAGAACTTTTCCCAAAAATTTTATTGTCTCTCAAATATACCCCAAACACCCCTTAACTTTCTATTAAAATTTTTAATGTTTTTGTGTTTTTATGTAGACGGGTGGGCCAAGTTGGGATGTCCCGTTGGGAAGAAGGGACTCACTAGGCGCAAGCTTGAGCGGCTCGAACCAGAACATACCAGCCCCAAATAACACCTTCCAGACAATCCTCACCAAATTCAAGCTTAAGGGTCTCCACATTATCGATTTCGTAGCACTTTCAGGTAATCTTCAACCCCAATTGATGAACACAACGATCAATTTCACAAACCCTAGCTCAAAACACCACCTTTTTTGTTGCAGGAAGTCACACAATCGGAAACGCTAGGTGCACCAGCTTCCGGCAAAGACTGTACAACAACTCCGGCTACGGGCAACCGGATTTCTCGTTAGAACAATCGTATGCTGCCCGACTTCGTGTAAACTGCCCGAGATCCGGTGGTGATCAGAACTTGTTCGCCATGGATCCTGAATCACCGAGAAAGTTTGATAATGGGTATTATAAGAATTTGATTGGTTTGAAAGGGTTGTTGAGCTCAGATGAGATGCTGTATACGCAGAATCAAGAGACGATGGAGTTGGTGAGACGTTATGCGGCGAATCAAGATGAGTTTTTTGATCAGTTTGCGAAATCGATGATTAAGATGGGGGATATAGCTCCATTGACGGGTAACCATGGAGAGATTAGAAGGATTTGTAGGAGGATTAATGGTTGATTGAATGATTGAATCGTGATTTGTGTGTTTGTAATTTGTAAATGTGTTCGATTTTTTTTTTTGAAGTGGATTGAAGATTTGATTGTGTTTGTATATTGTAACACCATGATTTACCATGATTTCCGATGACCTCTAGAACTTTGATTTGCTGGAGGATCACCATTCACCAACAATATGAAGTGCATATATACAAAATGACCATTTCTGCAAATTTTATGATTTATAAAACATACTATTGCATATATACAAATGACCATTTTGCAAATTTGATTGTGTTTGTAATCTAAGACTAACCAACTTTTGAAGACATATTGCAATAAATAATTATTATTTTTATTATTTTTTTATTATTATTTTTTTTTTGCATAATAGTTCACCATGAAATGTCTATCCATGACTAGCGAAAATGCAACGTCCTAAAAATCACGGTAAAGTTTTTCATTTTTGAAACAAATCCAAAACCATAAGTATTTTCAAATTGTAGTTTCCAAAAGTAATAAATATTAATCGGAGTAACTCAAAATCATAATCTCATAGAACCCATGATGATGTGCACGATTAAGTCTTTATCTTTTCCCGATCATCTGAAGTACTTGAAACATAAAACTTAAACTGTAAACATGAAGCTTAACGAGATCCCCCAAAGTACCAACACACAAATAGATAACGACATGCATACTAGGTCCACAACTAACATACTAGATTACCCCTGAGCCCACAACATAAGTCTGACTTGCCTTCTAGCCCACAACTCATGTCTGGCTTGCTCCCGATCCCACATTATAAGTCTGGCTTGCCTTACTGGTCCACAACTTATTTTTGGCTTGCTCATGAGCCCATAACATAAGTCTGGCATGCCTTACTGGCCCGCAACTTATGTTTGGCTTGCTCCCAGGTTTGTTGGCTTCTGCATAAACCAAGATTGCCTCAACCCAACCATACCATATTGACATATACATAGCAGATACCATGTATCAAACAAACAGATAATCACATAACCAGTCAGACAAACAGGTAGATCTACATATCACTACCGCATCACAACATCCTATATACTAGGACACAGATCT